GAATTTTATTGAGATGAGCATATGAGTATGTCAAGTGTTGATTTGAATAAATGTGAAATAGCTTCATCATTTGCAAGTTAATAAGCCTGAATATCAAGGGTGGGCCTGAATGAAGTCTGTCCGAAGCCCAACTTGAGTTTTGACTGTGTCTTATTCTTACTGGGCTGAGCTTGAAGCCCAATGGAATTACTGAAATTTTGAATAAAAGTCAAGGACGTAAGTATATTAGTTCTTGGACAATACTAATTAATTAGGGCTTTTTCTGTTATTATTAGAGACAAACTAAGTAGAAAATTGTAGTTTGCTTTAGGTTGGCCTTTAAATAATAAATGAGGCGAGCCCTGCTAAACAAAAATGCATAAATTGCGGGTTCCTCTTAAATGTCTATAATAAAATACTTAGAATTCGAGATGAGCCGTTTTGCGAATTTCACAGCCCTCCCCAAAGATAATAACGCATTAGTCACTTTAGGTGCGCTTTTAATAATTTACCTTCTTAAAAATAAATCCCGTTTCGATTGTCCTTTAATTAGAAAAACTCCCTTTACATATACCCTTTTCTGGGGTGTAGGTGAAAAAGGAGGTGTGACACTTATCAAAAGCTCGTACCCTAACCTTAGCGAAATGTTGTCCGCTTTTTTTTATCCTTTAAAATAGAGTTTACACTCGACTAAATAATCATTTAAATTTTNGTGATTTTTTAAACTTATGTACTTATCAAAAGCTCCTACCCTAACCTTAGCGAAATGTTGTCCGCTTTTTTTTACCCTTTAAAATAGAGTTTACACTCGACAAAATAATCATTTAAATTTTCTTCTAATATTTAGGAGTTTTAAATCAACTAAAACTTTGAAGTGCTATATAAGAAATCCTAATACGTAGGATATTAAAATTAATTAAATCTTTACCTTATATAAATTAAAATATTCACTTATTCTTTTATTTATGTAGACCAAGCAAGGGAAGTTTAGCATCAAGACAATGTATATAGCAGCAAGGTCTCAATTTCAGAAAGTTACATGGAAGAATTTTGTGCTGGGAGATGTTACTATACCAAGGCATCTATTTATTCTGTGGCTAGCTCTCAACCAAAGGTTAGCAATAGTGGATAGACTGGCAAAATGGAAGATTGATGTGCCGAAGGAATGTGTGTTATGCACTAGCCAGAAAGAAGAGACGCTGGATCACCTTTTCTTTGAATGTGCTTATGCTAGATCAATATGGGTTGCATTAGTAGGGTGGTTGAAAGAAAAGCACAATGTTGGAAGCTGGGAACAGAAATTAAAATGGCTGATCAAGAGGACAAATAGCAGCAGACTACGAGCTCAAGTTCTCACATTTCTATTTGCAACAACAACTTATTACACATAGATGGAGAGGAACAAAAGACGATTTCAGAACCAGTGTATTACATATGCAGAAAGAGTTCGAGAAATAGCCTTGTAGCTGCATATCAAAGGCCAGAACATGAGAAAATGGAAGTCAATGTTAGAACAGTTAAATAGATATCCTAGCGGAAACAATGTATAAATCACGAAGAGATTAGAAAAAGTACATAACGGTAGTTATGAGAATAGAAAGACCGTAAAAGATCTAGCTCTAGAGGCCAATGGGCTAGCGGATGTAAATATTTCCATTGGTTAAATATAAATTTTAATTTTACAAAAAAAAAACAAAAAACAAATTATGAACATACATATATGACTTTGATAACCATTTCAAAGTTCCAATTGGATGTACACTTCTTTTCTAATATTTAAATTATTGTATATATGTAAAATTATATAATTATTTTCTCAAAAAAACATACTTTTATAGTTAAATATTTAAAGTGTAATCCATATTTTGATTACCTATAAGTTTAATATTTTCTAGACAGTAAAAAATTATATCGTGCTATGAATAATTGTAAAAGACAATATTTTAAACAATATGGGAGAAAAAGATAAAAAAAAATGAAAAACTATATATACAACCTACTGCAGTCTATCATTAAAGAATTAAACATATATAACTCTTAACTTTAATATTTTCTGATGGTAAACATATAACTCTTAACTGACCATAGTTTGACTATCTGTAACTCTTAACTGCCCATAACAATTTATACTACTATGAATAATTCTAAAAGTTTAGTTTTGTGAAAACAATAGAGAAAAGAAATAAAACAAATAAGAAACATAAATATACAACTCACTGGAAACAAGGTAAGATATTCTTAATTTGGTCATCTATATTTATGTAACTAAAATAATGTACAATTTTCTCAATATTCTTCTTAATTCTAACAAAATATAAAGATTTTTTCAACGTTAATTCTAACAAAATATAAAAGATGAATAAATTATTATTATAATCTTATTATTACTTTCTTTATAACAAATTCCGCTAATTAATCGCACAAGATAGAAGATAATCACTTAACTTAGTGAATTAGAGGTAAAACGTAAATAAAATGTCTGAGGTAGGTGGGTCGAAAGTTATTCTTTTATTAAGCTTGCTAAATCGATTAACTTCAACATTGTAAAAAACTTACCCTTATTTATATATATATTTATTTTATAGCTCAAAATAATATTTAATAATATTTACGTAATCTTTATGGATTGACGTGATACACACGTGCAACGCACATACACTAAAACTAGTTATTATAAAAATATGAATACAATATCGGTTTACAAAAATAACCTTATAATATTAAGCATAATAACCCATAATAAAAGGACATAAGTAGATATTAACCTTATAATCCTATTAGTTTTAGGACATAATACTAATATATTAGGAATCATACATGGTTACCTTTAGAAATTCTATTAGTATAATTACTTTTGGGTTGTCTAATTCATATAAAATTGAACAAGTAAATATCTTTAGTCATGTAATCCTATTACTTTTAGGATATACTTCTTAAAAATTTCTATTACTAATTTAATTAGAAAATATATTATAATGTCCTATTCCTAATTTAATTTTAAAATGTATTATTTGTCCAAATTCATATAGAAAAAAGGAGAGCTTATATTATTATAAAAGCATAAATACAATATTAATATATCAAAATAGCTCTACATTATTAAACGAAGGAACTCATAGGAAGAGACATAACTGCAATAACCTATTTTTTGGACTATAATACCTTATATGCTAAATTTTTAATATTTAATATTTTAAAATTAATAAAATTTTGTCTATTAAATTATTATTAAAAATGTAGGAAGGTTTAATAAAACCAATTCCACGAGAATCCTCTCTATTGACAATACATTACCACTCCATAATATCCAATACCAAGAAAAAATAAAAGTGCTATTAAATGGACTCCATAAAGAGTTGAAATTGAGAAAAAAAATACCACCATGATAATATATGTTTATATTATATTTGAACAATTTTTCTACTCAAATAATATTTTTTTAATCAATTTTTCGTGTAATATTGAAAAATACCCAATTGTTAAACAATAACTAAGAAAATTTAAGAATATAAATGTGTGAGAAAGAGAAAAAAATGATTGGTAAGAGTCAATACCACTAATGATTCCACAAACATAAAGATATAAAAGTAAAATGTCATATCAATATTTTGCTCTTTGAAAATAAAATTATGGTGGATAAATTATAATTAAGATCAAATATTCAAAACAAGAGATGAACTAATATTAAGATCTGAATCAACATAGAATAAATTATTTTTTATGTTAAAATCAAATAATAAATTCTTTTAATTAATTATTTAGCAAGAGAATCCAATTCAATTATTGTTTAAATTCATCATATGAGTAAAATTCTTATTCAAATAAAAAAAACTTAGGGTACATAATTTTATTCCATTAAAAGAGCGTTAGAACACAAAGTAAAAAAGTTAGTATATTATTAAGAATCAAAGTGCTATAGGAAGCACAATCAAAGCTAAATCCTAAACAAGAACAAGCTTTCAAGACTATATCTTAAAGAATGACTCTGCTATAACGGGATTATTCTTTGTAGATGTCTTCGGGTGAATCAAAATGACATTTTCATGTCATGCATTACTTTCAAATATCATATCAAGTGATATGACACTGTTAGCAATAGCAAGTGGTGTACCAACAACGATTTTATTATGAGGCAACCCACTTTAGATTTGATATACCTTTCAAACAACTTAAATAACTATCACAAATATATTAAAGCAGAGTAATAGTGCTAAATTCATAAGGAAAGCAAAATTGATAATATGGGATGAAACACTTACGCCTAAGTGTCAAACGATCGAAATAATTGTCCGAAGTTCTAGAGATATATTGGATATTAATGAACCGTTTGGTAGAAAATTAATGGTTTGGGATGTGATTTATGTCAAGTACTACCAGTAGTTCCAAAATCGACAAAAGCAGAGACTGTAAACGCTAACTTGCCAAAGTTATACTTTTAGTCTCAAATGAAAAAGATTCAACTAACAAGAAATATAAAGTAAGAACAGATCCAATATTTAGTGTCTTCTTGCTTCGTGTCAGAAACGAAGAAGAGCATCCAATAAAAGATAATTTAATTCTTCATGTACACTTGGTTATCAATTCAAATGGTAATAGTAGTGCATTTAATAAGAGAAATATTTTTATTATTAGATTAAAACCTAATTTGTGCGAATCGCATGATAGAATTACAAAGATATCTTAGCTACCAGAAATGAATATACTGATCAACTAAATAAAAGATTGATTGCCAAATTTTATAGTAGAAACAAAATATTTTTTTTATTTTTGATTCAGCAGAAAATGATACCAATAATTACTCCCAAGAAGGATACTTAAATACTTTAATACCAAATGGTCTTCTACCATACATGTTTGTTGTCAAGTTTATTATTTCTTACGTATGTTAGTACCGTTTATATAATCGACTAAGTTAAAATTGATCTTCCATTGTATATAGGTTAATTTTGAAGAAAAATATGCCTGTCATACTACTGAAAAACTTAGATACGCTGAATAGCTTATGTAATAGCACACATATAATATATAGAAGTTTTGACAATAACATGATACATGCAAAAACTATGATACTGGTTAATGTACTTCTAAGTATATTTTTATACCTGAATTCAACTTTCGTCTTCCGAAACAAAGGATATCCTTTTAAATTTGTGTGATTTTTAGTATGTTTATGTTTTGCAAATATAATAAATAAAGCACAAGGACAAACATCCTAAATATTGGACTATATTTATCGCAATATATTTTCTTGCACGAACAACTATATGTTTCAATTTTAAGAGAGATATCAAGATCGACAACAAGAGTTCTGGTTAAGGCAGAGTAGCCAAAGCATTAGGAGGAAATATACACAAAAAAATATTGTCCACGAAGAAGTGTTCATTAAGATACCATCACATTAAATACTTTTAAACTATAATACATAATTATCCAACTAATATGACAAAATCGATCATTTGTGTAAGTTTAATGATGTCCTTTTATTTTAAATTCATGTATTATGCTAATGTAATAATATTTTTCGGCATTCACATGAAGCCCTGGGTATGGAAAAATCCTTGGTAAGGAGCGCTTCCCCCCGAATGGGGCCCTACGCGGCGCGAATCCGGATATAGTCGGGCTCCAATACGGGTACCGGACACCGGGTGGGAAACCAAAAAAAAATTATTATACATAAAATTTCTCTCATTTAATTAAATTTTATTGTTCCTTCATATAAATAAATATTTAAATCATCACGTGCCATTATTAACGTGCAACGCACATTCATAGATACTAATACTATATTAAAAGCACGAAGGCCCTTAGCGAAATGTCATTCGTCTTTTTTACCCTTTAAATTTAATTTTACATTAGACGAAATGGTCATTTAATATTTAGGAATAAATATTTAATTAGTTTCCTTATATTTAAGAATAGATAATTAATTATTTCCCTAATATTTAGGATTTCTTTCCATTCCTTTTAGGTTTTGAAGTCCTTTTTCCTTTCATAGTTTAACATGTGTATGCATTCCTTTTTGGCAGAATTAGGCCCTTAAACTTGACCTTTTTTTTACATCTAGACACTTAAACTAACCTCATAATCTCTATTCAAACTGTGCCGATTAGACACTAGAAGCTGACATGGCCCAGAAGGTGGATATCACCCATTTTAAGCGCGTGAACCAGTTAAAAAAGAGCTGAAATAGTCTTCTTCTTCGCCATTGGGGTCACACCTTCCTGATCTCCCATGATTCCTCCGTATCATTTCCTACTAAGAAGCACCACTAGCCACTGATTTTTATCTTATTTTCTTTCCTGAAAACAGAAAATTTCTCTCGACACCTACAAACCACCATGACCATGGCCATTGACCCCCCCCCCCCCCTCTCTCTTCAATAACATAACTT